AGTGTGAAAGGATATCAAAAGTTACAGAGTGAGTATCGTTGCATTGACATAAGGGTTTTCTGCTTTCTTCCTGGGTGTTTGTTAAGCCTTGCCGTACGTGCAGGATAGTACATGTGGAAATAGTAATTGCAAGCCCATTATTATTATTGTTGCTATAATTTATTATTAGTGTGTTTTTTATTTTATAGTGCGCACGTGTGCAGGTAATTCACAGAGAAGTACACTTACGCCACTGGAAGGTGGGAAGGCTTAGTTAACTGCAATAGCCTTGGATCCCGTTTTGATACCTGTTTCTGTCATAAAACTTTCTCCCTTAACTTCAGGCAAATCACTTTGGGGCAGCTTCAGACAGCGCTGTTGTGTCGAATAGTGCTTTGGGAGTGATTCAGCCCTGGAAGAACCGTGCTGTTCATTTTCAACGAGGGGCAATTGGTTCAGAACCTCCTAAGTCTGTGTGCACCTGATCCTCTGCTATCCAGTGAAATAGCCTTACCGCTCTGCAATGGGAGGAGGGAGGGATATGAGTAAGTCAAACTCTTAAACACTTGTGAGTTGCTGACTGTGAGATAAGCCAGATACAAAGGCAGATAAGTATCTGTTTCAAAGAGGTTACTGTCTAAATAGAAACTAAACAGCAAATACAATTGTCTTCTATCTTACAATAACGACCGCAGTTCCTGCCTAATAACTGGTACTGGAGAAGGCTGACATGGCTTTAACGGCCTCATTCTGGCAGGGTATGGAGATCTCTTATCCAGATTTGGGGAAAGCATCCGAGGCTCTGGGTGCTGAATCAGTCGGTGGGTCCCACTTTTGCAAAGAATATGACAGAGTGGTGCTTACATTACATCAGAAGTGCTCATCAGAAAGAGGTGTCTTGGGGCTGCATTCAGGCTGCCTGCTTTGGTGTTTAATAGGTGAGGAAGACCAATTCGGATTACCAGTGAGCAGTGACCCTAAGCTGGGTTTATATGAAGAGGGCTGCAGCCAGAGTCCTGCCCAAGCAACGGGATCTGACCGTCTGTCCATTGGATTGAATGTGGGTCAGTCGGTCTGTCTGTCGGAAGGGTACGGCCTTCCATGGGGTGAAATCAGAGCTGCTAAGGTGAATCTTTCCACCTTCCTCACATAAGGCTGGCTTTTTACAGCTTTGCAATATGTCTGCAGGATGTTTTGATGAGCCGAATGTTTGCCAAAAGTTCACAGATCAGTTACAAAACAGATGTACTTTTTTTTTTCCTTCCCTTCTTCCTACTGGTAAGGAAGAGTTTGTGCAGTAATTGCAGGCAGGTTGGGAGATGTTTTCTTCATAATTCTCCTTCTTATGAAATGTTTATGAAACACCTTCCACAAATCGGTTACGCAAGCAAGCTGAAGAGCTTTGATCATTTTCCACCACCCTCAATATGTTTCTTAGTTTGTTTTGCTTTTTGTTTTTGTTTTTAGGCCAGAGATAGGTAAGAAACAATCCATCCTTGGCCAGGCCCAGCAGACGTGCTAGCCAACTAAGGAAAGGACTCTTTTTTCCATCCAGTCACCCTTCCTGTGTTTTTCACTCCGATTGCTTGGGGGCAGTTGACCCTATTTTAAGGCTGTGAAAACATCCACTTGAGATTTGCAAGTGTGGTTCCTCTCCTGCCCCGGAGAAGCCCTAGGTGCCTCTGCGTACCGGTGCCGCCACCTGCCGTTACCTCCCCAGGAGGAGCTCGAAGCTGCTCCCAGCTTTGTCTGCAGACTCCCCTCTGGTCCAAGGGGAAGAAGGTCCATGTGGATTTGCAGCCAGCAACCCAGGCTCCATGCCTCACCTCAGCTGGATGCGTTTGCAGTGCATTACTCGGTCCCGCTGTTGTACAAGTTCGTTTTTTCTTAACTAGTGTTATTTCCCCAAATCTCATTCAATGGGAAGAAACTTAGGTTTGGTCTCCATGGACTTCTTGTTCCCCATTCTCTGTCTGGCCTGGTCCTGAGGAACCACAGTGGGATCTGGTCCTGGTTTTAACTAAATCACTGTTGCTCACTTGCAATGTTTTAGCAGGGTTCTCATCAAATATCTACATGAGGTGATTCTGTGATAATTTCAACCTTTTTCGGTTCCTTAAGGAAAACTTTTCTCATATTTGTAGAAAATCCTTCCAAATAGGAGTCAGATGCACTGGGAAAAGAGAAGGCAACTCCTCCCTTTGTTTTATTAATTTGAAATTTACATTATTTTAAGGGAGTCTCATGATATTGAGTGGCCTCGCCCACAATGTGTGTGGTTTTTTGGGGTTTTTGGTTTTGGTTTTTTTAATGTACAGTTGGTAATACTGCCAGTTCAGCCAGGGAAAAAATGATGGTGCAGGATTTGCATAAACCATCCCAAAAGTTTTGGATATACCCCCAAACACTTGCTAATGAACAATTAGCCAGCTGCAGGCCTGTTGGGGAGAGGAAGAGGAGGGCGAGGTAAATTTAAGCCTAAACCCAATGAAAATAGGTGCAGAGGAGAAGGATTTGTCAAGAACACCCATGTTCCCGCCCACTGCGCAGGAGGGAGCCGGAGAATTCCAGGGATGGGGGAAGGAGCAGTGGGAGATGTTGTTGTTTTTAAATCGGGAACCGGTCCTTTGCCAAACCTACCTCCCGTTCTCATACTGTGCGATGCCGGGATGCAGCTACACACCCCTTTCACCCTGGAACGCTTCCAAATTGTTCCACTTGGCAGCTGTAAAAATTGATTTCAGTTTGGAAATGGCTCGTGCTTCTTCAACACTCCACTCCTATTGGGATCATAACTTAGGCAGGATCAAGTGCCTTGTTCTCTAAGACGCGGATAACTTTTCTTTTTGGGACTGTTCAGACTTGGATAACTGCATTGTGTGAGGCAAAACACATATGAATTGCAAGCAGGGGTAATTTTTTTTTTTAATTTATTTTTTCTTTTTGGCTCACATGACTTCTTTTTAATGCACCCAGAAAGAAAAACGTGCATAAAACCACTTGCCTGCAATGACTGGATGGCTCAGGGGTAACGGTGTATTCTCCTGAGCCTTTTGTCTAACGTTTAGTAACTTAGACACTCTCCGCACTGATAGTGATCAAGAAGATCTTTCCATCTGATTTTTTTCGCCAGGCTAAGAGGGATGATCATGCCAACCTGAAAGGTAGGAAAGAACTGGTATTCATAGCATGTATAACTCTTGTTGCAAGGAGCTAGTACTATTGCAAAACTAGTTTCGGCAGTGTCCAGAGCTATAGTTGTAACGAAAGGAGATGTTGTAATTCTCTTCCCTCTGCATGGTACCTTCCAAAATGCAGAGGTTAATGTTACAGGGCCAGCTCCCTGCACTGCAGCCGCGAACCTCTTGTGATCACGTTTTCTCCTTTGCTCCTGTGGAGATTTGTGCATTGGTTTGCTTTGGTCAAATTGAAATAAAACCTCCTTCAACCAAAAATATTCGCTTGGGCCGTTGTTTTTAAAAGCTGAATTTCTCGTCCCCCTCTGCTGGTAGGAGGTTGTATGACCTAAAGTCCACATCAGCACTTGCCAAACCCCGGCAAATGCGACCCTGCGTGTCTTCTGGGGGATGTTGAGCTCGGGAGTAATTTGATGGGAGATGGTGAGGTTCAGCCCTAGTGGTAAGAGTCAATCGGCAATACTGAGCCAATGGACAGGGTTTTCAAGACCTGTCCTTTCTGATGTCCTCCTGGTTTTTCCAGTTTGTGGAAACTGGGGCCTCTTCGTGCACTGGAAAGGCTTAGATGAGGAATGGGACTCATGGTGTGAGCTTTGTTCCAGGCATTCACAGGCTTAGGGAAAACTTGAGCCTAAGTTTGGAAATTGTTTGCTTGGATCTTTTCTTAGAGAAAATGTGTTATAAGAGCTCTGTATGACTTTTCTGTCTCCTGTGCATGGCATCTGTGCCTAGGCATTCCTCATGCAGCTTTCAGGAATTAACCTAAAAACTTCTAAAATCCCCCCAACCAGGTTCCCCTCTCTCCTGTCCCAATCAGATTTACCAAAGGATTTCAGCTAGTGCAAAGTGATGTACCAGGGGTTTTTTTTGTTGTTTTGGGGGTTTTGGGTTTGGGGTTTTTTTGGTGGTTGTGTTTGGTGGGGGTTTTTTTATTTTGTTTTTAAATTGTAGTAGCAATGTTAGAAATTAACATGGAGACTATATAATAAACAAGAAACAAGGATTCAGTTCTGGTCCCTGGGTAAATTCTTCTCTTAAGAATGTAGACTCAGGAATCATGAGTTTTTTGTAGACCACAGTCTTTCTTGAACATTAAAGTAGGTCAAAATGACCACTGGACAAAGGGCTGACACCTGTGAAGTTTTCCAGTCCTTTTCCCACAGCTTGTTCTAGCTAAGGAGGCAGATTTTTCCTTGCCAGACCAGCACAATTTCTTATTGCTTTCTGGTAGAAGCTGAGCAAATATGTTTGGTGCCTGGGGTGCTGCATTTTCAAGTCTGGAAGATTGCACTGCTTTTTAGGTCTTTTACTTCATGATCTTTCCTTTCCCATCCCCTTGTACTGTTCTCTGCTACCTGCAGAACAAAATGAGAGGCTATCTATAGCCAACCCCACCATCGGGTTGCGAGTCATGATCTATAGAGGAGAATTGCTTTGTGTCTTCCTTATAGCTCCACAGAATGCCTCAGTGTTTTGTTTGAGGAAAGCACTTGCAGGCTTTAAACCTCGCTAAGTCACTGGAACTTGGTTACTTCCTAAAGTGTTTTAATTAAAATGTGTTTTAATCGAGCAAACTGCAAGCCTCCTCTTGGCTTGGCAGAGCAGGAAAGCTATGTCCATGTTGTAAAGTGGAGAGCAGAAGTGGGGAACTACCATGCCTTTCTGCAAAGCCAGGGATGGAAGCAGTGAGTCCTGACCTCTAACTTTTCTCTGAAAGGAGCTCCTTCGTGACCCCTTCCAGCCTCTCAACTCCTCACCGCAGCGCACCTCCTGCATCCCCTTGTCTCTGCTCCCTAATGCTACAATTACTTTGCTCTTTTTCAGATTAAAACCGAAGACCTCAGCGATTCCTTGCAATCTACAATCCCCTCTAGGTCAGGTCATCTTGTGCAGGGTTCATCGATGATGCCTGGAAGCCAAATCACAGGGGTAAGTGACTTCGCTGCTTCAGGGATCCGGAAGCCTGAAATGACACTGGTTAGTGAACCTCTGGAGAAGAGACTGGTTTTGAGACACTTGCCAAATTACGTATGCCTTTTGACAGTGGCAAAAGGAGACCTCAGGGTATGATGGACACTCAATTGGAAAAGTGAATCTGTGTTGGCAAAAGCAGCTTCTTCCTCAACCTCTTTCTTTTCTGCAGAAAGTTTTACGTGGGTTCAGAGGTAGACTGGACACATACTTGGAAGGGAATTCCTCTCAGGGTTTACTAAGTAGGCAAACCACACCATGCTCAGGAAATCCCTTGAATTGAAAATAATTGGAGACTGAGACAACACCAAAGGGAAGTGTTAGATATGCTTGCCCTGGTCTTCCTCTTTCATGAACATCTGGTCAATGCCATTGTTGGAGATAGGATTCTAGGCTAGATTAACTCTTGATCTGCACCAGTATAGCCATCCTTGAATATGTTGCCTCAAATTGATTTACACCAGAGAAGAAATCAATTCCTTGAGGGGAATTTCTTTTTTTTATTCCTAAGGTAAAAAATTGGAGTTTAGCACTTAACTCTTCTTAAATTCTAGTGAGAGTTAGATGCCATAAGGCCACACACCTGCTCAGTAATCTCTTCCCTCATTCTTTCATGGGCTATTCAGTTGCCTTATACAATTCAGGGACTGTTCAATTTCCCCAAAGCTTCAAAACAGTTCTTGAGAAGTTCAAATAGCTCATAATATTAAGTAATGAGTTCCTTTAAAAATGTACCTCTAGAGAGAGTTGATCTTACAGGGGCTTTTTTTTTCTGTGTGTGTGTCTGTCCCAAGAAAATGCAAACTCTTATCTCCTAATCCCAACAAAGGATTTGGGATCCCAGTAATGTGAAAGAGCGCTGGGATGTAATCCTCGTCTTTCAGTACTTATTGCCTGCTCTGCTCAATGAAGGGTGGGGAATTCCTGGCAGTTATGTGGCAAAGAACAGGAATAATTTTCGAATCTGGTCACTGTGTCCATTGCAACGCATTTGCTGTCAGTGCAGAGAATCAGGCTCTGTTGGGCATTGCTTCTTTCCCATCTCAGCACACAGCTGGCTGGGAAACCAGTCTTCTGTGGAAAGTAGGCTCTCAGTGTTCGTGAGACGGGACAGTCAGCTGCGCCTTCCTGTGTAATTTTAGGAAGTTCACTCTCTGGAAGTACATTATCTGGAAGAAACTGAAATCCAAGAGGTTTCACTGTTACTTCTAACAACAAGGTTTTGATTGCCAGTGCCTCAAAACCGTCATTTTTCAAGAATTAACTTTTTCAGATAGAAGTAGTAAGTTTTCCATGTGGATGTCTGTGTGTGCATAGAATTCTTCTTATACGGCTGAAAATTTCAGATCCTGGAGTACCTCTGGATCTGTAGCTCTTCAGTGCGTGAATGGCACAAACCCGATGTGTTGGCAGATAAAAGAACAGTGTGAATGGGGTCAAGGACGGTATAAAAGAGCAGGGAAGCTTTATAGGAGAGGTGATGCTGTGTGAAGAGCAGACACCTCTGAGTTTTGTTGTTCCCTTTGCTTTTTCCCCGCAGGATATGAGCTCTCTTCACACCCTGCAGCAGCTTGTATTGCTTCCTGGTCATATGCAGTCAGTTCCTCAGTTTCTTCTATCTCAGTCTCAGGCTGGGCAACAAGGTAAGAGCTACAAAAGCCGAAAGGGACATCGTTAAAAGCAGACACCTATCTAGGAAAAACCTCCCTTCTCCTGACTGTTGCTTTTAATCTGGTATGTTATGTTTTCCCAGCATGATGGTGTCTGTTGCCCTGCTGTGTTACGAGATGCAATGTCCCTGGCTCTTGCCCCTGTGCTGGTTCCCAACCCTGGGATGATCCCATAGGCGTGTAGTCGCTGCAGGAAGGGTCCAGCTCCAGAGATGCTCCTGGCCACCCGTGCCTTGTGTGCGCCAAGAGTGCCACCTTGGGGCCAGTCTCTGCAGACCTGGTAGGGATCCCACCTCTGAAATTCAGGACAGCATCTGGTTGGCTTTCAGCAAAACAGCAAGGAGCCTGCTTCTTGGGGAGCAGTTGCAGCCTGCCTGGGCTCCCAGCCTCGCTGGGTTAGCACTCTTCATTTCTTCCAGAAAACTGATGAAACGTTAAGTTGATCCCTTTAAGTACCTTAGAGGGAGAGTAAATCCAGGCAAGGAGCTGAACTGCTCTGGTGGAAGGATGATGCTGGCACTAGAACAAACAGGTCTAACCTAGCCAGGAGCAACCTGGGGATGAGAGCTGAGAGGTTTGGAGTTGCCAGTGGTTGTTCCCAAATCTCGCTCCAAGCCATGGGGCAGGAGAGGATAGGAGGTACAACTGCTTCTGAAACACAGTGTAATCGTTTCCATGAAAGGGATGAGGAGTGAAGTCAGTGCTTGAGACAGTCCCTGTGTTTCTATTTTTATCACCAGTATTTTTTATGGTATTTCTCCAACAATGGGGATACAAGCATGCCACTGATGAAGTTTTATGCTCCTTGTGGACAGACAAACATGGGATTTGATCCATAACCTGACAGATGGAAAGGGACTTGGGTCTTTTGCTCACATTCTTGATTTATTCCAGCATAGAGGAACCTCCGTATGAAGCAAAATTCAGAATTGAAACCTTAAAATCTCTGCACCTTGAATCCACTGGTACATATGCTCCAAAAGAAAGCCTGTATTGTAGGCAAGTGGGAAACCTATTTCTCGTTGACAGTATATAAACTCTTCTCTCTGCCAAAAGATGATTATGTATATTTACCAATAATCTAGAATTTAGTTTGTTTGAAAAGGCAGGGTCAGGATAATCTATTGCTTACTGCCTGCTTTTATTCATGTATAATAGGAAACACATCATACTGCAAAACAAAACTTGCTTCCTTGTATAGAGTTAGGGTTTCTTCTGTTAAGTGACTCCCTTTGGCAGCTATAACCCTTCCAACAGATGGCCACTTGTTTGGCCATGTCCCCTTTCGGTTCCAGACTTGATACTAGATATTCTGGCCAGTAGCCGGCTTTTTGTGCAAGAGCACTTCCATTTGAATAGATGATTGCTAGGTTTTAATGACCCTTTGCCGTGTGCATGCACAGCCACTGGGGAGTAAAAGTGAAGGCACAGATTGGTTTTGTAGAATTAGTTGTTTGATACAGACACAGGTGGACCATTCTTCACACTGAAGAGATGCACAAAATATTCCTGAAGTTGTCCCTCCAGCTGTCACGGGAACACTCGCAATGTTTCCTGAGTTCTGACTGATGGGTACTTAAGTTCATGGATTTCATGGCCAAAGGGACTTGGCTGTGGCCTTAACCTTTCCAAGAGGACACGTGTTTTGATTTGGTTTTCATGTTTTAGAGTTGTTTTTAAGCCAGATATGTTCCCAGGTCTGTTTGATTATGCCCTGATGTGATTCATTGTGCAGCCCTTCAAACAGCTAATGCTGGCCCACTTGAATAAGGAGGTGAGAGCTCTGTGCCATAAAGGTGGAAACAAGCAGCCAGGTAGATGCTGGGAATACTGTCAGCCAAAATATTGCTGCTGAAGTCTTCATCTTATGAAAACACAGCCTCAGTCTCATCAGCTGTCAAACCGGTGATTCCTGAATCCAGTCCATAATTTTCATTTGAGCTAGAGCTTAGCTTTCGCAAAGGTGTTCAATCACGATTTTAAAGACTCCAAATGACAGAGCATCTGCAATGTCCCTAGGCAAGCCATTCCGGTGATTAATTACCTTCACTGTTAAAAATGTGCACCTCATTACCAGCCTGCATTTGAAAGTCAAAGTTGTTCCAGCGTTAGAGAAGGCTTATTGAAACACCAATCTAAATAAATAAATGGGATCTTGCACATTCAGATCTAAATTAAAAAAGGAAAGACTGAAAGGAAGAGAGGGGGGAGTGACTGATTCTGGAGAGAAGAGGATCTTTTTTCTTTTTTTTTTTTTTTTTTAGCAGAAGTCCTTAAATTTCTATAGTTTTCCTTATAATTGTCAGTTACAATCAATAGAATATATTGACTGTTTCAAGAAAGGTTATAAATCCTCACTAAGTTCTATGGACTTCACCCATGACAGACTTGAAGAACCTAACTAAATTTCTAGGGAGCTACATTGCTTTGGTCGCTACTTACTCCTTTAGGACATTCCCTGTAAGATATACAGGTTTGTACTTGGCAGTTTGTCAACTAAACAATTACGCAGTCTCCATAAATACTAGTTTTTGTTAGTTTTATAGATTTCCCTTTTTTTTTCCTTTCATCATTTTGTGCCAGTTTATATATTCCCAAAGAGATTCAATCTATTTGAAATACAGTAGGGTAGAAAAGAAAGGATCAGATGGCTTCAAAATGAAATGTATAGTAGAAAGAAGAAAGCTACTCATGATATTAACTGTAGGATCAGGATTTTTTTTTTTTTAACAAGATCAAGTGGCTGAACATTGGAGTCAGAAAAGCTTCTACTGGAAAAAAGATGCACTTTTTTTTTTTTAACAGCTACAATGATTAAGCACTGGGAGAGACCACCACTAAGGATGTGGTCAGTTCTCTGCTGTTTGGCATCTAAAATCAAAGTTAGACGTCTATGTAAAATGCCTGTGCCCTAGTTCAGCCTTAGGTTAATAAGTTACACGCGACAATCAGTGGATTAGTTATTTTACCTAGATCATTGCTGTAATAATCCCTTTCAGGCTAAAAAGCCATGAAAAGAACCTTTCCTTTCTCATAATCCACCTCAGAGCCATCCACATTTGTAACGGCTGAAATTTTCGTATTTTGAACAAGACCTAACTTATGTTTTCCATTCAGAGCTTCACGAGCCTTTCCTGTGCAGAGGTTCAGCTGCCTAGGTGCTGATGAAGGAGCTGGTCTGATCAGATGCGTCTCTTTTTCTGTCCTCAGCTTTGCAGCCAAACATCCTCTCCTTCCCTCAGCAACAGGGCAGCCTTCTCCTCTCCCAGCCGGGACCCAGCCTGGCATCACAGGTAACTTGCCTCAGCATACAGTCCCACCCTGAGAAGCACCTATCTACAAAAATGCTGCTTCATTAAGGGCAAATGGCAGAGAAAATGGTGTACTTTTCTACTGTTGTGACTCTGTGGATCTTTTTTGTTGTTTTAACAGGCTGTGGGCCGTTCTGGACTCCCTGGCTCATCAGTTGAACCCCACCTGGATGTACCTCAGCATTTGCAAGTGGCAAAGCACCTAACTCCATCAGGAGCATCTGAGGAACCCAGCGACCTGGAGGAACTGGAAAAGTTTGCTAAGACTTTCAAACAAAGGCGAATCAAATTGGGGTTCACGCAGGTAAGCAGCCTCATCAATGGGAAGGGTGGTGTTGCTTGTGATGTGGACATGCTGGGTTGGGAGAGTTTGTGGCAGAGGCGTGGATGGAGGGAGGGCTGGGTTAGATATGGTTTGGCTTTCTTTGGAGCATCCCTTCCAAACACATGAAGAGAGAAAACCTTCCTAATATTTCATTACCATGATCTTATCATCTTCACCTTCTCCAATACACAAAGGCTCAGGGTTGTGGGAAGAGAAGTCACTGTAGTCACTTTCTCTGGAAAGCAGGTTGTGGAAACAAGACTGAACCTATTTTGGAAACAACCTGAGAGGTGGTCTGGCAGCAGGAAGCTGTGAGGGGGTTTTCTGAGCTCATGTTGTGATTTGGATCTTCTCTGGCAGGGTGACGTTGGACTTGCCATGGGGAAGCTCTATGGCAATGATTTCAGCCAGACCACCATTTCCCGCTTTGAGGCTCTCAACCTGAGCTTTAAGAATATGTGCAAGCTCAAACCCCTGCTGGAGAAGTGGCTGAGTGATGCAGGTAGGTGACATTACGTGCCTAGGTACCAAACCACATCTGTCCTTTCTCTCTGGCAATATGGGATTCACGTTGCAATTTGGTGTCTGGGGCAGTCCCTTCCTGCATCGCCTCTTGCTCTGTTGCACGGCCTGGGGCAAATCACTGTCCATTCAGTCCCTCCCTGTGTAAACTGGAACGAATACGAAGGAACTCCCTCTAAAGTGCTCAGAGATCAGCCCATGAGCAGTAATTAGAAAAGGAAGATGTCACTGCAAGGGGAATCCCCAGTAGCAGCAGGACTGGGCTGGTGTCCTCTGCTGGCTGCAAACCACTGTAGGAATGGCATTAGTCTCATGTGCTTCACCCAGCCCTTCAGGAGTTGCATGTTTGACCGATTTATCATGTCAGGAGGTCTCCCAGCTACATGAGGCCTGATCCCAGTGGTGTAAGCCAACATCTTTAACTGTGTGAAATTAAATCATTGGAAAATGTGTGATCCCCATCACAGCAGGCTGGAAATCAAACTGGAAAAAGGAAAAATAGTATATTGATAAAATTTTAGCACACATTTATTACCTGATTTGGACAAGGTCATTGATGGATTTGGGACTGTTGGAGCAATTTTAATCACCGCCAGAGGAAGGATCCACAATGTAGGAACATTTTACTTATTTTAGGAGGTTCCATAGTTCCCAGAAAGGATCTAGGAATGAAAATAACTCATTATCTTCTTGAATATCTCTTTTCCTTCCCTCTTTCCCCAGAATCTGCTCCTTTGGATTCTTCTATGAGCACTCCCAGTTCCTACCCCTCAGTGAATGAGATGTTTGGGCGGAAAAGAAAGAAGCGAACCAGCATTGAGACCAACATTCGCTCCACGCTGGAGAAAAGATTTCAAGATGTGAGGGGAAAATCTTTCAATGTGTTGTGAACTCTGAGTTTGGCATTTGCTAGGTCATAGTAGCACTGAATCCTCAAAAAAAGAGATCTCTTTTTTGTTTGTTTTGATAGCAGGTTAGAGAATACTTGAAGAGGTTAACAGGAAAAGTGTCAAAACCAAAGAAATTGGACCCAGTTATTTCCTTGGTAAATGTTGTTTTAAAGGAATTACAATTTCATCACTGCTCCTCCTCATTGTCGTCCACGGATCAGTGCCCTAGCCAAAGCTGATCTCCTGCACCCACCTCTTCTCTTTGTGAGTTGCAGGCGTGTGTCACGGGAACTGTGTGGCCACCGTGCAGCACGGAAGCGGATGCCCTGTTAAGCAGGTCTTGTGAGACCGTGGAACTAGTTGCTCCAGATATTGCTGCTGAATCATTTCAGAAGGGGAGCCTTTTACTTTTTAAGCATCAAGATTTTCAAGAAAAATCACTACAGAGAGCAAACAGAGCTTTAAATCAATAGGACTAAATTGTGCATTGAAAAGTTTTCATCAGAACTGTTTTTGACCAGCCCTCATTTTTTCCTGGTTTCTCCCTCATATCTGATCATATCAAAATTTCCTCCTAAAACCGTTAATGAGAACAAAAGACAATCATTGTCAGATCATTACAGGCACCTCATTTTTAGCTAGTATGAGGCTTTCTATGTAAATGGGAAAACTGTCTTGACATCTCCATGCTAGGTATTTTTGACCCTCAAGTCTCCAACTCAGATCAAAACCCATAGAGCTAAATGCTGTCAAATGCACAGAAAATAAGTGACTCGGAAGAAAGGATAGGTACTATTATTTCCCTTTATAAGTGAGGGATGGAGGAAGAAAGAGAAGAAATGGCTTTTCTGAGATGGTGCAGGTAGGCGTACAAACAGCACTCCGAGCTTGTGTGTCCTGTGTAGTGATAAGAAGACCACTAGTCATTACCTTCCCCCCCAAGCAATGATTTAGGGTGCTGTTAAGATCAAAGAGCGCAGTGCTTTATGCAATAACAGGGCCAGGTACTGTGACTCATCTCCACTGATTCCATGAGACCTGGTGTTGAATCAGAGGCACTTTCTGGTTCACAGAACATAATCTCGCACCCAAATATTTACCCTTTGTCTTAGTAGCAAATTTTCTTCCCTCCCCAGTTTACAGCCAACCCCACCCTTGTCCTCTGCCTTTCCAGCAGCAGAAGCATAGATTGATGCTGTAAGTTACAGCACTTTGGGGCTTTCTTTAACCTCCTACCCTCTCTCAGCAGAACCCCAAGCCCAGTTCGGAGGAGATATCCTTGATAGCAGAGCAGCTGTCCATGGAAAAGGAGGTGGTTCGGGTCTGGTTCTGCAACCGGCGCCAGAAGGAAAAACGGATCAGCTGCCCAATGCCATCCCCCATCAAATCACCTATCTACAATTCCAGACTGGTGAGAGACTTTGGATTAAGGAGTTCTACATGCATTCCCAGACAAGAAGGGAAAAGAGTGGGGGGATGCAGCAGGGTTTGCTGGAAAAGGAAACAAGACAGGACATTTCCTTGTGCATTCAAGTCCCTGAGTTACTGGCAAGCCCACTCCACAGTCCAGTGGGAGACTACACCTGCAGAGAGGCAGCTGGGTTAGCCACAGATTGGGCATATACTTAGCATCCCAACTTGAATGGAATCTCATGCCTGCACTTATAGAACATTTATTTTTATTCTATTAATGAAAACAATATAAAGAAAATACAAGTTTCCTGGAAAGTACAGGTCAATTTAATGGTAGGATAATTTATCCAAATAGGGGTGCTATCCCAAAACTTTTCACCCTGAGATTGGTAAATAAAAGCTTTCCAAAGTTAATGGAGGAGGAATCAGCATGCCATGGAATGCAAATTACATCCACTCATGTCAATTTAGTTGTTAACTCTGAAACCTAATGTTAACCATTTACATATCAGTTTGTTGTTTTACATCTGTGCAGAAATGCAGAATACACTTCAGTAGCGCTTATTGTCCTTCTGTCATGTTGTACATTCACATTTTGGCAAGCGTATTTTCATTGCCAGAAAGGATGAGGAAAAGAGAAACTGTTGTGAGAGTTGGTGAAAGCGTGTCCTTGTAATCTACTGTCAGTCACTACTGTGGATAACAAACTGCTATTGTGTTTCTGCTAGTTAATAGTTGCTTCCACATATAAAAGTGGCAGGAACCTCCCTATGGTGTTGTTAATGCTGGAGCACATGTGAGTGGGAGGGAGAGTACGTATTTGCAAGCAATATTTTATCTTGAAATCTTCTGGGTTTGGGAATTATCCATCAGAAAACAAGAAAACATCACGAGAAGTTTGGTCACTTGTTGCACAACACATTTGGTCTACAGTCACAGACACAAAATGCTGCTTGCAAGCCATGAATTTTTAAAGCAGTAGCTTTGGTGAATAATTTTCCTGTGAATGTGCTGTACAAAGTACGCCTTTGCTCATCAGTCATTCTGAACGTGTTACCTTTAGTTAAAGTATCATGGTTGAACAACTAATGCCTCAGGCTCGCTTTGGTTGCAGCCACCAAATTACTAGTTGTCACCTCAGAATTCTCACCCATCAAGAACTCCCTAAAGGTAAAGGGATTATTTCTACCCGAGACCAGAGTCAGCTGGGAAGTTTCAAACTGAGAACATCCAGTCTAAGACATTGAAAGGGCAGCAGCTCCTACCAACTGGATCTCAGGACTTCCAAAAGTTTAGCTTGTGTTTGATAATATGAGGCTTTTCCATAGCCGATCCATGAATTTAGACCTATGTCGAGTGTGTCAGGCACATGTAATGCTCATTCTGGTTTCTTTCCATGGCCCTGGATATGAGAATGATGCTTCTACACTAAAGTATGAATAGAAATATCTGTGGGAGCCTCAGATGTAGCTAAGAAGTCAGCCTGGGAGCCAGCATGCTCTAAAGGGATTGTGAAAGGAGTGGCATTTTGTGATCTATACCCTCATAGTGCCAAATGCTTACTGTTTGCTTCTGTTTCTCTCTAGGTCTCTACCTCAGGGTCCTTGGGGCCCCTCTCTGTCAACCCGGTGCATAGCACCATGCCTGGGACTGGTAAGCCTTGAGAAACCTGCCTCACTCATTGTTCCTTCCCTCCTTCCTCTACTCTTGCTCTCTGACTGCTTGGTTTCTAGGTGACATTTGCAGGCCACTCTTAATAAACCCAAGGGTCTTGGCCAGGGAAAGTATCCTCACGTAACTAGTGTACAAGGGATAACAACAGGAACAAAGACATGGAAAGCTTCCTGGGCATGGTAACATTCCCAGGAAAACCCTAGGCAAATTTTACAGGGGTGTTTACGTTTGGGAGCCAGGCACACCTAGAAGCCAAACAAGAGGAGTGCTTAGGGGTGGGTTACTGCATTTCTTCAGCAGCACATTGTCAGATCTCCTTCAAGAAGTGCAATTCACAGTAACACAAACCAAGCACTACTGAGAGCGCAGTCCTGGAGACCCCCACCTCCTCTGTGGCTGGGGCACAGATTCTGCCTTGCTGCTGCAGGGCAGACAGTGAATCAGATGACAACAGGATGGGTATAAGATACGGTGGAAGCATTTGGACTTGGGCTGTCCTTGGCATGAAATGGAGATCTCAGTCTTATTCTGCTTTCTCTGCTACACAGTAACGTCATCGTGTTCCCCAGGGAATTCCAGCAGGCCCTCGTCCCCTGGCAGTGCACTCCATGCCAGCAGCCCCAGCACAGCCCAGAGCAACTCCAAAGCTGCAATGAACTCTTCGGGTTTCAACTCTTCAGGGTAAGGCAGTGGGGGCCCACAGCTTGCTGCTTGGCAAGGGCATCAGAGGGCTCAGGAGAAAAGCAACGGGACCTTAGAGAAGAATGTGCAAGCCCTTAGAGGCTCCAGCAATGTGGAGCTACATGGTGGCTCATTCTTAGATAAAGCTTCACATCTAACCTGAAGCTTCTTGGGATATGGCTATTTTTCGGCTTGAAGAGAAATAGTGAATTAAGTTGTGCCTGAAAAACTGTACTGGTTAAAAAAAAAGGAAAAAAAAAATCCAAAACCCCAAAAACCAAACCCAACCAAAAACCTGAATAGAAACACCTGGCCATAAGGACTGTCCTAAACTAACTCCTTGTGTGGAAGTAGCAGAGGAAAGCTTATTTTGCTGTTTCTGCTTGGGAAACCCCCCTCCACAGCCAGTTTTCTCTCCTGCAGTGCCACCCAGAGAGCTCTGCTGCAGCGTAACTATTCCACAGTGGCAGATGAAACAAGAACAAAGATTTTCCTCTGCCCTGCCTTTAGATGCTACAAAAGCATTAAACCGCACGTGTGGGCTCAGAGCCCTTCTGGTTATTTCACTGAACGTGTCTCTGCCACAGTCTGTGCTGCTCAGGCCTCTCTGCACTTGTAGTTTCTGTTACATCACATCAAGGATGCTGTGTTAGTAGGAAGGCAACAGAGAGCAGAGGGAGTTACCCACAGCTGCTGGGCTTTCTGAGTCATAGATCATCCTGTGCCGTGAATCAGACCTCCTCTTATGTGGAGGAAGTCCAAACAGCCAGGTAGTATGTGAAATCACGAGCACAATGGAAGATGCTGCGTAGAAAGACACGAATTTTGCTATGAGCTTCCTATGGGAGCAAAGGATCATTTGCTGGCTGCCAAGTCAAAGTCAGGTTACAAACAGAATAATAATGGTTTTTATTTCAAGGGGAAACCGTTAACAACATGGCAATTGTAGCTCTTATTCCCTGTGTTGCAAACAGATCTTGGTACCGATGGAATCAACCTACCTACCTCCACTGAGATGACTCCTCCATCGTGTAAAAGGAGCTCTGACTTCTAGCTATGGACCACCTTCTCTAGGAACAATGCTTGGGGCAACATCTGGAGTTCCAGTGCCTTCAAAATGCTGCCAAGTGAAGGTCTTGTTTAAGGGAACCCATAGCAGCAGAACTCTCCAGGGACTCAAACTGCAGCTGACCTTCCCCAAGGATTCTCAACGCCAACAGTGACATTATAACACTCTTCCAGGCACTCACTTCAAGAACGAGCCCTTGCTTAGCACTATTAGCATGAAACACTGCCCTCTGCTTGCAAATCTCTGCAGTCACACTGGATTGCCTGGCAATCTCTAATCTGGAAGGATTTCTATGTCAGGACCCTCTCTCCCCCTCACTCATTTCAGAGCTTCTCATAAGAAGGGTCTATCATGCTGTTACTATCACGCACACATACCATAAACCCCCAAACTGAGCCGAGGTTACCCAGTTCATTTCACCAGAGACCCGTGTCTAGATGTGAGCCTTGGTTTTCAATAGACTTCCAAGGTCAACGGCACTGTGCTTTATCCACTACCAAACTTGCTTTGCTTTGAGCCATTCTGCTCTGTTTCTAAAGGTGCTTTTTTTTTTCCCCTCATTTTTTTCATTTTTTTTTTTAATTAAGTTAGAACCTTCTTATTTTTTCCTTTTAAAAAAATAGTTGTCTTTTGCAAAATATGTGTCCAGGTCTTGTTATTGTTCACAGCTGGCCTCACTGCCCCACTGGAGGATGTCACTGTTTGAAAACCTTGGGTGAACTTCTGACTCCATTGAACACAAAAGCAGTTTGTGTTGATTTGATGGGACAAGGATTAGTCTTGGCCTTCCCTTCCTTCTTTTATTCATCCTTTGGGTTTTACCTGATACCAAACAAAAACAACCTCTCTGGAGTAGAGGTGTGCATGTGTTCTGGTCTTTCCTGAATTGTAAGTAATGTAGCTTGCCTGTTCTCTGCAGCATGCTCTTCTGTTCCTGAGAGGACAAGTTGTATTGCTCAGGTGTGAATCTTGAGGTTTGTGTGTGCAAGTGTTTCTTAACTTCATGAGATGCCAAAGTGTAGGAAACTTCAACATTCACAGCATATCACCAGGGAAATTGTTGTTACTTTGCAATTCTCCACTTGAAAGGAGGTAGATATTTAATTTTGTTAAAGTAGACTTCAGTAATACAAATTCCTGGTCAGATTGTCTATGGGTACAAGTAATTAAATCAGTGGAACAAGAGTAAATGAGTATCTGGTTCACAGATTGTAAATAGACATTTTGGAGTAGCAATCTCTTTTTCTGATGGCTTTTTTTTTTAGGTAAATGTGAGCTTTTTTTTAAAGTAAAAATTATCCTTTGTCACTTCTGGAGCACAAAAATATTTGATCTGTTGTTTCTTATCCTACTCATCCAGTCCTGTGTGAGTTTGTGGACCTTAAGAGTTTACCAGCTACCATCACACAAAGTATTGAGCCCTACATGCACATTGTATATAGAATCACATTTGTTGCCTTGAGTGAGGTTTTGTTATAGAAGCAGACACTGATAATAATGAGAGAGGACTGGAAAATATAAGGTAACATTTCTTGAAAAATGGAAATTAAGAAAAATATTTCTTTTTTTTTTAAATGCTGAAGTAAGGTTTTTTCCAAAATGTTCTAACACAGAAAAGGGAGAAACTGTATTTCTGTTTCCTGGATTCCCACCACCACTCATTTACCTCTAACTGAAACACTTTCATCCTATCTGTTTTTCAGTGGAAACATTAAAATTAAATGAAACTTTTTTTTTTCCCCAACAAAATCTGTTGTGGTTTAAAAAACATTTTATGTTGGGAAAATAAGACTTGTAGGTGGGAAGTATTAATCTAACTCTCCTGATTGCTATGGTCCTTCTTTCTGACATTAATTAAATTTTCTTACATGTTTGGAGGGTTGTTTTCAAGCCTTGTTCTCCATTGCTTTCCAATGGATTTAGAGATGTGAAATGAATTATTTGAATATAAGCATTCTAAAGCTAAGCTGTGACAGCTTTGGTACAGCTGTGCGGGTGGGTTTTCTTGGCAGATTTCTTAAAGTCCCCATTACTGTCTCTAACAGGAACTTCCCTGTGAGAACTGTCTTCTACAGCTAGAGTGACTTTTTCTACGGTGTGCCTTAATCACAGGATTCTTGAGGAAAAAACAAATTCTCCTCCAGCCAAGAGAATGATACTACAACAGTATTTTAAAACAACTGTGCTACGACAACTGCATTTAAGCTCAGCGAGTCGGTCGCTGGCTTAGCTGCAGGGATGGATCATGCCAACATGCCCTCCCAGCACAAACTTACCCCTGCCATTTGCCTCCATGGCATTGCTTGTGACGGTGGGCTCTCAAAATGAGCCAAGGCGAGCCCTGCAGACACAGAGCAATACCTGCTCAGCTCCCCTCCAGCGCTGGCTCTGTCCTGCTGGAAAAGCCTGCGTGATCGCTGCTGAATGCTAATAGCAGATCTTTAGAAATTAATGCGCTCATGTATACACAACTGGGAACTGGTAACGGTTTTTATTTGCACGCAAGATCTTTGTTACTGGATAGAGAATTGGGGTTGATACTATATTTAAGTATTTTGCCTGACTCGTTTCCATTAATTTCATGTAAGCAGATGAGTTAAACTGGCTGGAAGGCTGGTGGAGGGAGACTAAGGGATCTGTGTTAAAATGGTAGAGGGCAGGAGAAACTTGTTTTACTTTTTTACTAAAACATGCCAGTGTTTTGTCAGCTTTGCTGGAAAGAAACCTTTCCAGAGTCGTGTTTCTCTCTTATCTGGTCTAAAAGATTAGAAAAAAAGTACTTTTACATTAAAAGTTCAATTCTGTTGCAGTTTAAAAAAAAATCCATTCAGAAAACAATTCATTGACCTGTACTCGTGTGCAGACAAAGTATGTGGGAGGAGAATGTCCCTCTTTTGTCTCTGGCTGGGATGGCATAAACCCCACAGCCTACTGAGATGAGCCCATGCACATTGACGACTCAAATTGTACCTGCCAGGTGCATTGCTATGGGCTTGTGCCCTTGGAGAAGAGATGCTGCAAGTCCTAAGGGAGAGGTGTAGGTGATAACTGGCAAATTCATAATCCCTCCCTCAAGGAGCTGCCTTTCCTCTCAAGCCTTCCATTGCAAAACCTCACTTGAGCTCCTGCGAGGGCTGGCCAACACTATGAGAGGAGGATGGAGGATGAAACAATCTTTTTTCATGCCAGCCTGAGAAGTGATTTGCTTGTGACTGTTCACTGAGTGTGCTGCAACCCTACGAATAAAGTCAGCAGGATTTAGACTTTGACTAAACAACAGCCCTGGCCAGGGATGAAAAAGAGGAGTGGCTGGCTGTTGCTTTGTAATTATAAAGACCCCTTAAGAAGCTTCCACCTTTTTAAGCGATAATTTTACAATCCTTATTTAAAGCCAGTTCCATATGAAAAGGATGTTCAAGTGGCATGAAGGGATCTTTCCCTCCTAAAGTACAGACCTTCTTAAAATTAATACTCTACATAATGGAAACAAGTGCGTCACAGGATGGCATGCTGCTAAGACAATGACACTCTCTCTAACTTTTTTCTTTTTCTTTTTTTACGTTTTGACTATTATGAATATTTAGAGATTAGCAGGTAGGAAGAATGAATTTAAACCACAGATCTATTCCTTTGGGACACCCTATCTTATTTTACTTCTTGCATGACCTTGGACAAATGACTTCATCCTCATTAGGTGATGATGATGATGATCACCCTTCCCTTCTCCCAGTCTTCAGCTTGTGCTAAATAGCATAGTTCATGAATGATGAACATTACAGCTGATTCTGCTGCCAGCCATCATAGAAGATATTTATTACACTGACCCTTGGCAAAGCTTTATCTTCCACCTCGTTTCTATCATGAAAAATCTCAAGTTATTTCACAGATTATAAGCAATCACTTAAAAGCTCAGAAGTGACCATTCTGATTGCCTTCATAACCCTAGTCTGCAAATTTTACCCAGTAATTCCTGCGTTAATCCTATACCTGGTAGCTGAGCTTGGCTACTGATTTCAGACTCAGTTGACAGTCTACTTAAACACTTGATAAAGGCTTGCAGAGGTTTGTGAGCCTCTTTGTCAAAAGGAACCGAAAATAAAGTTGTGAAAGGCAGCTATTTACAATAATACAGTTACAAGTTACTGTACATGTATAGACTCTTAAAGTATAGAAAAGATACATCATGTAATATCAATATCTGGCTCTTAACTGACAAGCACTATTCCATTTAATTTGCAGAAATTCCTCTAAGTAATTTGGTCCCACAAAAGCAGCACTGCATAAATTTTTGGAATATTATTTCTGAAAGCTGGGAGGGAAATTACAAATGCATTAAATGCTGAATAACGGTATCTGCACATTAGTATTGCAGCTGAGATCAAAGCCAAGCTCTGCCAGGTGTTGTGCAAACACATCGTGAGAGTTGATCTCCACTGAAAAGTTTATAAACACAATAACTAGACTGGAAGATTTATTGATAGATAAACTGGTCCTGAATAGGAAGACAAACACTAGCAGCATGTTTGTTTCACAAAAAGCTACAGCTGGGAGGGAAAGGTCTGCCTTCCCCTGCCTTCTGGGAATACTTCCAGTCTCACAGGAGCATCTAAGGGATTAAAAATGTACAGAGCAGGAAATTCCAGCTTTCCACGACTAAGAGTCATCTCCCACAGCCATAGATAAACCATGCAGGGAACAATTGCTCACCAGCAGATATGCTCACAGTGGCCATAAGAGCTCACGTAATCTCCTGAACCACCTGATCTGCTACCAGAGCAGCCCTTGTGCCTGAACAGTCTCCACGCTCTCTGTCCCTACTCTCCTCTTGAGGGGAAGAGCTCCTCTGCTCCTCCACTGTTAGGATTCAAGCATCAGTGATCTGAACCCCAGAGCGAAGAGCCAGCTGTCAGCTGAGTCCCTGTCTGAAAACACCTCTGTGGGTCCC